ACTCATGCGTTTATATATATGCTAGTACATGGGATACGAAGTCGCGGCAGTCGCTGCTCGCTCGCGATACGCATGAGTCGTCGTCGTCGAGTTGGCGCGCTCCAAAAAGCCCCCAAAGCTGCAAGCACACCGATGTATATATATAGCACTCGGGCTCGCTCGCGCAGGCGTGCGTTTATCGATGAAAAACGGAGAGCGAGCTTCTGCTAGTGCCGAAGGAGTAACGAAGCTCAGAGATCGTGTCGCGCTTTCGCGTTGATGGCGACGACGACGACGACGACAATAACAGTGCCACGCGATAGATTCTATCGAAGCTCAGGTGCTCGATTGAAAATTTGGAAGAAATTCGTGAACCTCTTGTAAGCGTATAATCGAGTGTTTCAATGAATAAAATTTAATTTTTATCTGCATTAACTACTCAGTGGACTGTGCACGTGTGTAGCGGCAAAAGCTCGAAACATCAATCGACAAAAGTTAATATATATCAATTAAGGTCTCGAGTCACGCTATAAAAAAGATTTGAAGAATCTGAAAAAATTAAAAGATGTGCGGATAAATATATAATTCACGTAAGTGTCACGCGGCGTCCTTCTTTTCCCAGCCGTAACACGTGCATAATCCTCGAAACGAAGAAAAATCTCGGCGCGTTTATAACTTTTAGACTTGATCGTCCGCAAGAGTTTTATACCGCAAAAATATACGAGACGTTGATATGTAAACCGTTGCGATGCGCTACATAATCGTCCGCGCACGGGGCAAAGTGCATCTAGCCGCGCTCTATCTCTTGCGGCTCTTTTCTTATAATTTTCACGGATTACGCGCGGCATTTTTTGAAAAATTAGGTAGAAAAAAAAAATACAACGCTATATTTTATCGTGCACGAAACAGAGGACGTAGATATATATTATATGGTTAATAAGCAGCAGCAGCAGCAGCAGTAGCCGAAGCAAAACACGTTGTGCGCCTCGCGCGTAGCTATATAAGCGCGAGTTCGATTGACCCAGTGAAAGTTGGTGTATACTCCGCGCCGCGCAGCGGTTTTCAAGGGGAATGAGATCGCCGGATCGCGCGAGGCAGGCAGGCGCGCGCCGATATTATAATAGAAAGAGACAGAGGCTACTATTACTGCTGTTGCTGCTGCTCAAGAGAGAGAGAGTGAGTGAGTGAGATAGAAAGAGAAGCTCTACATATATATATTCGATATTCTCAAGCGCCGAAATCACCGCGTATATATCCGCAGTAACATATACATAAATTTGTCAGTCTGAAAGCGACAGCTGTTCTCTGCGTACACGCGCTCGAGCCATATAATAATAATAATAATAATAATAATAATAATCATAATAATAATAATAATAATAATAATAATTATAATAATAGTAATAGTAATAATACGATGTGGACAGAAAGCACGAGAATTCTTATGATGCAGCTAATGTTCTATTCAATTAATTTCTCTCTGCCACATACTAAAAATTTCATTTTTACATTATATATATATATATATATGTATACTTGACACCATCGTTTTTTTAATCATCATCATTATCATTATTATTAAAAATTATTTGTATCTGTGATCAGTCATACATTGAATATCTTTCATTCTATAAATTTTTGTCTCGTACGTTTTCAAATTTGTTTCTTTTTTTATTAAATATACAAAACAATATCAACGTAAATTACCTAAGGAGTATAGAAAAAATTCAATTTTAGAAAAAGTCTGTTAAGTATGCTGATTTATTTATTAGAAATAACGACGAATATGTAATTGCACATGGCATACAAACTGACAATTTTTATTATTTTTCTCTCTTTTTTAAACATTCATATCACTCAATTGTGTCAAAAACTTGATGTTTATTGGAAAAATGTATAAACCCGAACTTGGCTTTTGATCACTTTATATTTTAAGCTTGTTTGATGATGATAGTAGAATAATCATTTATGATGAAGTATTAATGATTTTCAATGGAAAATTTTGAAAATTGCTTGACTAAATACTCTTAAAAAGAACTGAAGTTAAATATAGTTGACGTCTTTTGCGCAGTTTTTAAATCAATTTTTTTAAATTATACTTGATATAAAATTTTTCCCCGTCTTCTTCGCTGTATAGATACAAAATATACATAACTTTGCTTGTTACGAGACGCAATGTTGTTTTTATATTCTAGGTACATATATACCACTTATTTAAGTTTTACACTACATTCGATATGAATCAATGGCGACAGTATTATTTTATAAAAAAATTTTCCTTTTTTTTATTTCGTCTCTAGTTTATTTAAGGAGATATTTTTTCTCGAATATTTCTTATTACCAGTAAGCCTTGAATTAGCAGTAGAAAGATAGTAATATTATCACGACACATTAACAGTATAATTTTAATTCGTGTTTTACGATTTTTAAAACAATCCATTAGGGAAATACGTAATTAATTTATTGTATGCATAGGCTTCCTTCTCATTCATCATTTTTTTTCTTTTCTTGCACAATTCTTAAAGTAATTTAAAATGTTAATGCATAAAGAAAATGAAGGATAGATTAAAAATTCATCTGGCGTAAGTGTATGAAAACTTTTGTTAAACTGATTTATTACTGTTATAACAAATTTTTTCTATAAAATGTACATTCACAACTTTTTTGAAGTACAAAAAATGAAGTTATTTTCATAAAAAATCGTACAGTTTTCGATTGACGAACAGTTTTTCAGATTCAGTAGACTCACGGTTAAATCTTTTTGTAGTCCATCTCTATCAATATTAAATATTTCTATTCATTTTTCATACAGAGATGGTTCTTCAATTAATGTGAAATTCAATACATAACTTGGGTAAAAAATGATTCCTTGTATCAAATGACTTTAAAATGCATAGGACAATATTAAATAAGATAGACAAAGGTTTTTTCAACTCTTTTAAACTTTTATAAAAGTAACATAATCAGAGTACTTTATTTTAATTTTGCAAATACCATTTCTAGTTGTGAATTTGTCAAATGAATGATTCATTTTGGGAAAAATAAAATTTTTTTTGTAATATATAAAACGTAAGATTTTATATCAATCAATTTTTAATAAAATGATAATAGTACTTTAAACCAAGCACCTTTTCCCTTTATTTTTTTGAAACTGATAAAGTGACTTTCATCAAATTTGTTCCCACAATCTATTTTGACATTACATTCTCGTTTTTAGATTTTTTTCCGTCATTTTTATCTTTTTTTCCACTGTAGTGAATATTAAAAGTTCTTTTACCGAAACAAAAAAATTGTCTTAATTATTTTAATAATACTGCAAATTTTTTTTCTTGGTTAAAGTCACTATAATCATTTATATTTAGAATGATATACAAAAATAGGAAAATACTAATGAAATAAAAAGTCAATTTAACCAATTTTCCAAATGATTCAAGTAAAAAAATTGAAACAGATGGTCTCCGAAAATTTTCTTTCATTTAACACCAAAAATTTTATATATTGTATAATATAAGCGCTGTATATGAGTAGCGGCGTGTCGTCACTTAGTTCCTGTCGTGCTTGCCAGGTGGAGCGCGACACGCGCTCCTCGATATTCAACTCAAAATGTAAGTATAAATTGTAGAATATATTGCTTCACTTGAATTAATCAATATTAATCATAGAAATCGAAATATATTTTGTACATACATACATTATCCCGCATCAAGAAATTTAGGTTTTCTTTGAACTTATGAGCCATAACGAAACTACAGCACTCAAATAGATGGCGTATAACTCAACTCTTTTTCAATATCCATGATTTGGATAAATATATACTAAAGCATTATAACTGTAATCTATTCACGAAGCTTTACGCTTATACATTGTTTACCCAAAATATAAATTAAAATGTTTTACAAAGTTAATCATATTTAACATTATGAAAAAGGAAGCACATTTGCATACACGCTTTTGTAAAATTGTTTCTTATTAATACTTATGATTAGTGATCATCGTTTGATCTTAGGTGTCCTATTCTGAGTAAATATTTACGTTTTTTATGTTAAAATAATTAATTAATTGGGCTCAACAAGGCTATAATTAAAAACGAAAGCAATGGATTTCAACATTAAATGTCTATTTGAATCTAACGCATTTTACTCAATTACAAAAGATTGAAAAGATTTTAACATTATTAAAAAAATCATCTACTAATGAACATTAATGAAACATCACGTTTTGCGCGTTAAACCTTTCATATTTGAAGGAATTATTACGATTAGACTAATTCAGTAATCTTAAAATCTAGTGTGTCTGTGTATCAAATCATAGATCGCAAACTATTATTTGACCGGTATAAATTTCAATGAGTCTTAGACATTAACACCTGTCAATACTGCTACACTTTAGCACAACGTTTCATTAGCCATCCTCTTTTGGTGGTGTGAACCATCCTGTAATAGCAACAATGTAAGGTTTTAAAGGATTAACAATTGAATATAAATGTTACAAAACAATTAAAACAAGAAAGTTTTCCATTGCAGTCATTTTTCGCAATGAAATGATACTTTCAAGTATTCACAATAAGAGAATGTATCAAGTAGTCCTTACCATTTTTTTCATGAATTTGAACTAAAGATTTAAATGATTGTTGAGCTCTTGCTAAGCTGTACTGACCCTGTCCAGTACATGCTTTTCCACCACCAGCGGTTGGTTGGAATTGAATCCTAGCTTTCCCTTTGACAAGAGTTGCTGAAATCTGCATAATAACAGCCTCCACCGTATAAGCAGAACTCCAACCTTGTTTCGTGAGCAGTTCCATACATATTGCCCCACCAATAAGAACATACCCACCAGATATCATAGGATAAACTACTCTCACAAATGGTGGCTCAAATGGATAAGTTTCCTGAAAGAAGTTTTTTTTAATTGTTTCATTATGCATTCTGCATATTTTTAAGATTATAAGATTAATGAAATGAATGAGTAAGTGCCTGATCTATGCACAAGTTGTAAGAATCTGTTCAACTGATGTTTTGAAGTTAAAAGCTTAATTAATAAGACTTCAGATTGTAACTGTTATCATATGTGTAACTCGAAATCATGATTAGTAAATAAATGCATAAATAATAAAATTTTTTAGTTACTCAAGCTACTAATTTGAACCAATGTCTTGTATCTCGTCAAAGTAGTTGTATTTCATAAGCTAAATAACATTTCTAAAAAATATAAACTAATCTTTCTTCAATCTTTGATTAAAAATGTCAATTTTGATTTTAAAAGAATTCAAGCAAATCATCAATCACAACATAAAATTCTTAATTATAGCAACATAATTATTAATTATACCTTAAAAAGCATATTTAAGAGTATACTATCTTTGCCTTCTTTTTCTTTGAGTAAGACCAAATCTGTATGCAATGGCGAATCAGGATCAACACATTTTAATCTAATGTTCCACTCATATAAACTATCATTTACCAATTCTATGCTGTACATTCCTAGTAATAAAAAATAGAAAAAATTTATGAAGTTACTTGATTTTCATTGTATAATTATAAAATTGAAAATTTCAAGTGGTACCTTTTTTAAAACTGTCACTGCGATAAATATCTCGAAGTTCTTTCATTAATCGGTCTGTAGCCTGCACACTACCTGAAACAGACCCTTTCATGTAATCTTGTCTTTGATTTTGTCTTAGCCTTTCTAATGTTGCAAGATGCTCCAAAGCCATTTCATCTCCCTGCAATAAAATAAAAAACAATAAAACCAATAAATAGATTACAAATGGATAAAATAAGAATTCATTATTTACTAAAGTTTTAGAATAATGACAACATTTTATACTAAAATTTTAGAATAATTCTAAAAAGGCATTTTGTTACTCACCTTATTTTTAGCATTTGCGTCTCCTTCATCCATATCCAGATGAAGGTCCTCTTCAGCTTCACTTTCTTCATCTTCATCAAGTTCCTCCGCATCATCTTCCATTCTTTGGGGTGCTGAATCAGCAACTCCATTCAGTCTCAAAGGATCAAAGGCTGTGGTAAGGCGTTCTACATCTGGAGGTTCTGGTATGGAATGCAAGCGACATAATTCTTTCAGGAGAATTCCAACTTGGTTTATGACATGGTTATCTCTTCCAGTAGTATTAGAAAGAATTTGAACTGCATTAGTTACACTTGTTTCTTCTGAGTCAGCAAACCATACTGGTGGTGTCGATGGATATGTTTCCTAAACATTAAAATGAAATCATAAATTTTTAAGAAAAAAAAAAGTTAAAAAACGGAAAATTGAGGGTCACTGTGAATAAATTAATTATAACACTAAATTTTTTTTAATCGTGTTCATAATTTTGCCACTTATTAATTGTAAACAAATAGCTTAAAATTAAAATTAAAATTATATTTTTATGCTACCCAAACCTGAAGTAACATTTTACTTCTGGTGAACGAAATCAAAATATTACTTCACACTGGGGAATAAAAAGAGAAATAAAAAAGTTTCTTTGCACCGATGTAGTAAAAGAAGAAATTCTCAGACCTCGTAGAATTCATCGGCTGAGGCAAAGTCCAACTTAAAATGTTGCCTTGCAAAACCTCAACCGATAAATTCCATGTGCTCTGAGACTTTCCAGTTTTTCATCCTTTAAGGGTAAAATAAACTATTTAATAATTTTTTTTACCAAACTATTGACATTAGATCAAATTATGATGGAAGTTTAATGTTAAAAAAAGTTGAGAAAATGATAATATATTCACAAACACTGACAACCCTTTGATTGCAGTACAGATTGAAACATAAGGGTCTCTACTCTAAACTATCGCTTTCTTTTTTACCCTTTATAATCTGGCATGCATTGACCTCTCCCTGTGTACTATAGCATGAACACAAACTCAGTCATAGGACAGTCACATATTCGCAGTTAATTTGTAGCACGCAAATGAATTCAGACTCGCAGGAATGTGCACATGAGTGTCTTATGAGTAAGTGTATGTGAGAATATATGCATTGCATTACATATAAAATAGGTTTATGCACACAATGACAGCGTGCACATACGCATCGATTTGCGCTCGAGACCGTCATCGTTATCGCGGCGTCAGAACCGCGCACTCTTAACAGTACTCTTTGACGCTTAGCATCACATTTTGTATACACACATTGTAGTCATATGTTTGCATTGTATTTAAGGTAATTGTACATACATGCGTACATATAGATGTGTATAAATGTGACAGCGCTTGGGTGCAACGTGTTCCGAATCTAATGAGAATTAAGAAGGGAAAGGGAGGGGGGGAGAGAGAGAGAGAGAGAGAGAGAGAGAGAGAGAGAAGGCAACAGATCTTAAAATGTTTCCTGGAAATTTTCAGACTTTATAAACATTGGGTCTTGCACAGATGTATAAATTTATGTTTTTCTTCTATTAAAAACATGATGAAACTATCATCATTGACAGCGATGGGTCTCTGCATATATTCATGAATAAAAAGTATCATCAATTTATAAATGAAGAAAAGAAAGAGACATGAAATTGAGAATGGCTAAAAAAGAACTGATAAAAACTAAGTCTCTTTCTTTTATAATGTTATTTGTTGTCAAGATGATCTTGAGAATAAGATACAAGTTATGAACAATTTCATTTTATTGTTTTTCATCTTGAAGCCATGTCTTTTATAAAAACTTGAATCTTTGTTCTTTAATCAGTTAATAAAGCAGAATAGAATGATTCCTCTTTTTCTACTAGCATCCCACTTTCTCTCTTATAATTATTTTACACCTATTTCTTTGAGTACTCTGTGAAGTCTATATGATCATTTTATTTGTAACATATATATAATGTTTATATATATTCAAACATACTACACATATCTCGATTTAGATAGCAAGGTATGTAGCAAATGTAATAAACGATTAATAATAATAAAATAACAATATATATTTATAAATATATAAATATACATATATATATATATACATAAATATATTATATACGTGTGTAAATATGTGTGTGCGTGGGCCTTGGAGTATGTGAGCATGAACAAAAAGAATAGTGGAAGTCTTACCGTGATATTAGCGTGTATCTCATATTTTTTGCCGTTTTTACCGACAAATCTGCAACTAAGTTCATCGACGCTCGCCGTTATGATCTGGAACCTCTCGTGGCTCTTGGGAAAGAGCGACTCAAGAGTCCTGATTTCTTGCTTGAGGGTGTTGAGACAGGCCATGTTACGATATAAAATCGTCGTTGGCCGTTCTCTTTGCGATGCAAGAAAAGCAGCAGCAGTAGCTAAGCAGTAGCAGCAGAAACAGTGTCGGTGACTTCCCGGCGCCGCTCCCTCTCCTATATGCGCGTACAACAAATCCGCTATAAACAAGAGAGCTTCCTAAGTAGTCTCTGTTTGTCTCATGCACTCTCCCCCTCGCGAAAATCAGCTCTCTGACGAAATACACAATTGCACAATGGAACCTCTCGAAGTTTTTCTTCGCACTTAACACCACACGCGCGTAGAGAACGAGCACTGCACACGGCAGCTGCAGATAGCTTATGTTTAATGCATATGCCTTAATATCATTTCTATTGGCATATATATACTTGGGTATATGATTGTGCACGTATTACTAAAAAGTTGCCACCAAATGCGTGTACGTAACTGCTCACTGTGCGACTGCGGGGCTGCTTTGCTCTGTAGATTTTTCACACCACTGGCTTGCTAAGGCTTCATTTTACGAGTGTCCGAATACCTCTGCTCGAGAGTATGCTGCATCACTGGTTCGCGAGAAGAAATTTTCAACCCAAAATGCACAACTTTTTCTTTCTCTCTCTCTTTTGCTCCGTCTGTTCTACGGTATTGCGTACACGATACAAGAAATTACAAAGTAAAGAACTGCAAGCGCTACAATCTTTTTTTCAGTCGATGTCTCCGTCCAAGAGTACAGTATACGTATAACTCGCGTGCAGCAGTCTCGTATATGAATGCCAGTGCCCCGTACGTTATACGTAGCTCTCGGCCAGTTGGCGAATATTCGGCTGCGAATGGTGCGCAGCGACGGGCAGACAGAACGGAACTGAGGACTAGCGATCAAAATGGCGGTTCGTGAACCGTAGCTAGCACTGGTATAACAGTGTAAACGTATGCACAGCGAGCCTCGGCGTGACGTATGCATTAGGGGTCGGTATACAATACGGCTCAAGTTGCCAACGAGGCGCTCGAGGGAGCTCCCTCTTTTTCAGTCGTACGACTGCGCCGCTTGAAGTCGCGCAGCGATTTTACGTCGGCTCTCGGCCATTGCAAGTTCGCCTGCACTTCACGCTCACGATCATTGACGTCGCGATTCCCATTGCAAGCTAAGACTTGACGAAGCTGTAGCGATGCAAGGTGGTTCTGTATTAAAACGCTATATGCGCAAGGCTATATGCGTTGCGAAGCGCACAGCGTCAGCATGGCAGAAAATAGGGGAAATGTGTTGGACTCTCGATATCTTTTTTACTTGCCTGGAAACACCCATTTATAATTATATCATTCGAAAGCTAATGAAATTTTCTATAACATATATTAATTTCATTAACTTATAAAGTGATTTGAGCTCACAGTACACTAAAAACTGCCGCTTCCCATTTGATTCAATGTTAAAAAGCCAGAACTTTGAATTTCATTATTTCCCAAATTTGCATGGAAACCCCCAATTTTTTTTGCATCAAAAATCTTGTAATTTCATAAACTATCAATGGTTAAAATTTCACTTCGCGTGTTTACGGTCGCTAACGGCTTGCCACGAATCGCAAATGCGTTTATCGACCGAATCAGTGAATCGTTTATATGCACATATAGATCTACAAAATACATTTGATTCCGATAGTTCGCGCCATTTTCCCATATAAATTGTGTACATTACGTGGAAAAACATTTATATATGTGTATATTGTTCAAACATGATTCCCGATAATTCTTTCACTTAAAATTGAAAATGATACGAGTTGTGAACAGAAACGTGGAAAGATTAAATTATACAAAGTCTCTTACAGGGACAAAATAATATAAATCTCAAAAATTGTTTTATTATGCTTGTATTTCAAATGTCTATAATTTCTAATATATTTCTTAGAGTTTATATTTACAGTTTACGATCTAAGTAATAAGTTATAATACACATATTTTATTCAACAAGTTTTGCTTTAACAAATAGATAATATAAATTAATGATATTCTTGATGGTTAAAATAATAATTACAATTAAATCTAGATTTTGGACTTGAGAGTCTCATAGTTTTTTGTTTTGAGATTCAATCATATATAAAATACATCTAGTGGCTTTTTCTACACTTCTAATCGCACTGTCATCCACTTTTTAGTAATAATAATTTTAGTTACATACTTTGAGGTAGTAATCAAGTTTTTTAAAAATATTTTCGTTAAAAATAGACTCATTAACAAAATTGCCATTTATAAAAGCTGCATATATATATACATACTTATATATAAATGTGTGAATAAGGCAACAGATAGATGGCGAAAAAAGAATTTTTTTATGAAACTATTGTTAACTGTAGAAACATAAGACAGGTCTATTGTTTGATAACACCTAATGTACAACAAACAGTCTTTTTTTTATTATCCTTTCATTTGATAACATTTTTCAAGTTGATATTAGCTCTTTAATTGTTTAAATACTATTTTATACAAGTCACATAATTTTTCATATAAGCTGAAGTAGGACTTTATTTACGATTATAAGTGTTTTAATTTACCTTAAAATCAAATATAATTTCTATGAATTAATTTAAAATTATTGTTCCTTGTCAAAACCATCAACTTGACTTAAAATTTAAAAAAGTTGAAAAAAAGCATATTTGAATCTTTCCTCAATACAATAAATTTTAAAATAATGAAATATACACATTTTACTGTAAATAGGAATTTTTATTCAACTATGCATTTTTGTTTGTTTTCGTTATTTTCTTTTAATATCGATAGGTATAAAATTCAAGCCTATTTGTACTTAAATTTTATACAATGCACTAGTTTCTTTCATGATATTTACATATAATTTTTTTTACTAAACACTCTTGAAGTCAGCTTAGGATTTTTTCATAGAATTACAGCAATTTTTCATTTATATGCACAATATAATATTAGTAACAACCCTATATTATATAGATACAATGTATAGTTCAGTTAGCCAGATAAATTATGTAAATAGTACATATTATAGGTTGTGCCATTTCAAAAAATTTTTGATGATTTCTTCATTTAACTGTACACTCAAAACACATGGCTATACCAATGAGGCTAAAATAAAAGAAAACTGCAAGTCTTGAATTTTAAATTTGGATAATTAATTTTTCAAATAAGAAAGATATTTATTTTTCTAGTTTTAACATTTTGTTACTTAATATTTCTTAATGTTATAAATTATATCAGTAAGTTATATTTTTTCAACAATTTCATACTGGTTAATCGAAAAACTTCTAATGCATTTCCTAATGTAATCTTTTTGAAGAAACCATCTTTTAACTCTACTTCATATGACTGATGCAAAATATAAATGATGTCAGAATATAAACAATAGGATTTTGAATCACTTATATGGGATTAAATATGCAATAACTAGGAACTTGATACAGATTCTGTGGTTGACACATTGAACCACTATCTGTTAACTTTAATGTGATTTTTGTTCTTAGTAAACTAAAGATGAATAAATGAAGTATATTTTCACTAGGCTTCTGTTTTAACTGGTTATAAATACTGTTATAAATAGTGGTTATAATAGTGCATAAAAAAACCTTGATTAAATATGAAAAAAAAGAAATAAGAAGAAAAAACTAGAAAAGTTAAAAAGTTAAAGAATTTATTGAAAAATAAAACATTTTTTTCACACTAAAGCTGAACAGACAGACTTCTGGTTGTTTTTATGCTGAACCTCAGTTTAATTTTAATCACTTTTATTTAATATATTTACACGATTGATTACTTATGTCATAAGTTTATTTTTCCATTATTTTTAAGAATTGTAGAGAACTTCCACGATTAAAAGTTTCAGTGCGTTGTCTCTTTATTTGATCACTGGCGCGTATCATCATCACTTAATGAAAAAACCATTTTTCTAGAGTCCATTTGTGAGATGTTACGAATAACACTGAGTCCAATGACATTACAGACAGTACAGCTTGTACATTTAAACGGCAGTAGCAGCACTTTTTTAACACACAAGATATGTCCAAATAGTATTTTCACTCACATGAACAATAATACGCAAAGAGATAATGCGTAAGTGTTGAATTTTGTGCAGATCTCAAGTGCAGATTAGAATGCCGAATGGTAATAATCATAAGTCGGCCAATAAGGCTGCAACCAATCCTAGCTGGTACGTTGACGCTTTTTCGCGGAATGCTCTTCGGACGATGAGTGAGCATGTTGATTGTTAGGTGGCAACCCTTGCGAGGCTGCTGAATTTTGGTTTAGCATGTATTTCAACTGTGGCATGAATTTCATGATGCTACGCACTTGAATCAGTGGCAGCTCTTCTCTCAAAGAGCTACACTTGCCATTTTTCAACAACATTTCCATTTGGGTACTGTAAAATTTATGACATAATATATATTTTTATATGTATTGTTATGTTTTCACTACAAAGTAAATAATCAAATTATCTCAAAAAATATTAAAATTCTAACAGTTATAATATTTAACCTTATACATCATATTTAACTAACCTGTTGCACTGATAAAGCTCTACATTAAGAACATCCAAAACTTGTCTGCATTTGTCTACGTTGCATGTGGGAAAGAATTCACTAACAAAATCAGGCAAAGTCATCAACAATTCTGAATAAATGTATGGTTTGAAATTGATGCAAGGCACCAATTTATCTTCTATTAATGCCTTCTGAATTTGATAAGGCTGAACAGGACAGTTGACAGAAGGATGTGTTTCCGCAATAATTATTAAAGGTCTGCCTCTTGATTCCCTGAAAATAGAAAATTCAAAATTAACTTAAATGACAATGAGTAAAATAAAATGTGTTGTGGCATACCCAATTTATGATTCTTAGCTCACCTGGTGTTATTACTATTGCCATTTACTGGTATAAGGGGTGGTGGTGGATATTTGTTATGAGTTATATGAGGTGTACCATGACTAGAACTCATAGGTACAGGTGGAGTGTGTCTTTGTTGTTGTAACATAGAAGATGCTACTGGAGCAGTAGATGTTGGTGGAGGCATTGACAACGCTTGTACTTGTTCATGATTTAAACCACTCAAAATGGGGTAAGTGTTAGCTGTAACTGGACTTGGCATGCTCATGTTTTGAGTTGATACCCTGTATAAAAACAGTTAATTTTCTTATTAAAAAAGAAATCATTATCATGAAAGTTATGAGATAATTAAGAAATTTTACTTTTATTGATAAAACAAAAGATTATTGCGTTCAAGAGAATTGAAGTTATAAAAATCATGCAAATTGACTGAAATTTAGAAACTTCTATTTATAATACGTGATTGAAAAAAATGCTTGAGTATCTTCGATTATTGAATTAAAAACTATTGCATTCCGATATAAAATAAATGTCCAATAAAGAATTGCAAAAAAATAAAATCATGCTCTTTGGCTATTGCATAGTCATTTATGGGATGTTGTGAGTAGACTCACCAGTCATCTTTCTCATATGTTGGATAACTATATCAAAAAATATAATTATAAACAAACATATGTAGCAAATGGTGGGCATACTTTATTAATATTAAAAAAATTAACTACAAGTAATATGAATCCAATAAATTAAAAAAAAATTACTGTAAATTACAATTTTAAATATTTTTTTAAATGAAAATTTTTATTTAATATCATTTTAGCAATTCAGAAAAAGTTTGTTTCATAAGTTATAGCAAAATCAGCTTTAATTATAATATATATTTACATTTTATATTTTTCAACTTACCCTATGTGTGGTTGATTGGAATGTGGATTTGTTCTTATAAGAGGTGGAGTTTGCATTATTGATGATACTGGATAAGTTCCATATTGCTGTGGAGGTATTGTAGACCCTCTATTATTGATACTGCGACTATTAAGAGACTGTAAAAGAAAATACTCTATGAACTATGTTTCTTTTTTCATTACAAAAGCAAACTGCTCTTACGTTATGTAAACTCATGCTTGAGTTCATTCGCATGAGAGAAGTATTAGCCTGTGACACAAGAGGATATGTAGGGGCCTGTCCACTGACAAGTCCATTCCAACCATTAACTGATGCTTGAACATTCATAACTGATTGAGTTAACTGGTTGTTTCGCGAAGAAGCAGAGGTTATATTAGATGGAATAGATGGATGTGATGCAACCATAGATCTTTGATTAGATGCTTTTTGTACAGTGGATATTGGTAATGAACCTCGTGGCAACATATTTTGTAAAGAAGCACCTCTGGCATTAATCATATTTTTAGACATACTGTTTGACACATTTTTTTTTGTAACTGGTGGCATGATTGGTGGTTTTAACCAACTACCACCACTTTTATTGTTTGTCAATAAATGACAATCTGTTACTTTGTTAGGCCAATAGTCTTCAAAACCTGTACCAGGTGGAAAATAACTTCTTATGTCATTCAAACTAATTACTGAACATGTTTCACTTGAGAATAATTCATTTCTAATGCCTTGAACTTTGCAACAAAACTTTAAGTACACCAGATCCCAACCTTCAAGTTTTTCAGCTTTAAGTTTTAAATTTTCTGTTTCTCCTTCAAAATAGAATAGAGGAACATACTTAAGATTATCCTTAACTGTATAAGGTACTACTGATTCCTTATTAATACGAATAAAACCACATTTTTCTGGTAATTTTTGGGATGTCATGATGCTGTGAGTTGAACCTGAATTTAATTTTGTATAACATATATCCAGATATATGTAAAATTCCCTAGCATCTACTAAGCGTACTATACAATCTTCAGTTGTAAATTGGTCACGTCCAAATTTATTTTCGCAATGTCTATTGTTGATTTCATTTAATAATCTACTTTCAGCTTCTGTTATCATATAACTATTAACACATTGACACCCAAATATGTCACTACTCAAGTGTGATATATATTTATTGAGAACTTGGACTTCCAAGATTCTTACAGGACAATATTTTTCTTTTCCTCTGTATATATAAGGTATGTGACAATCGTGAAAAGTTGTCCAACCAAATCTACCTTTTTGGCTTTCATCATCTTCTGGTATTTCACCATCAGGTGTTGGTAGAGTTTGACTCGGTCTGGGGCATGCTAATAAATTAGAAAGATTTTGATTAGCAGATGTCATTGCATTTGTTTTGCTTGAAGCCTGAGATGCTTGCACTGTTGCAGTAGCCGCCGAGGCATTTTTTGCTTTGTGTGCTTCCACCATTTTGGCGGCAAGCTCTTTAATCTCTGCTTCATCTGGACGCTCTTCTTTTACCACTAGACTATTCGAAGCTGTTGAAAAATTTTTTATTTAATTATTATTAATATTCATTGTAAAAAATTGAAATACTTTTTTATCACCATCAAGATACTACTATAGTTACAATATCATAGTTTTTTTCATTTTAGTAAATATGGTAAAGTTTAAAGAATTGACATACTTAAACAAAAAAGTTTCAAAAAATTAATTTGACCAACAATCAGTAGTTAGATATCTATATCTAATCAGATAATGGAAAAAACTAATGATATTATGAAGGAAGTTTCATAGAAAATTTTTTAGAGCTTTTTAGAAAATGCATTGTACAACAATAAACAGAGTCAGTGCACGTACCGCCATCCGTAACGTACATCGAGAAAGCGTTGATGCTGCCGCGGTCGTCGATTAGAACACAGCCGAGAATATTTACCTCAAGCTTCTACAAAACCGTGTACAATTGTTTTTGGCCAAATCCACACACCTATACAATATCTTTCTTGTAACTTAAAAATAAGTTATGATAATTGAATATCCATGTTTTTCTATCTGTATATATCTATATGTACGTATAATGGTAAATATATATATAATACATTTAGATGTATATATATATTACGTGCAGAGATGAAGCTCCAGGTTTCGATGGGTAGTGTTGAAAGTGATTGCAAAGAGCCACAAAATTGCTTATTTGTTCGACTTCATAGCTTCATATGTACCATCAAGTTTACGTTTGGCGCGTATTATGTGATACAATGTTGATGAAAACTCGAGTCATTCGTGATTCAGCAGTGTCTTTCATGAGCGCGTCATCTAGCAATTTTTTATCATCAACGAGTAAATACGTTGCTTTAGTGGAATAAGTAAGCATCAACGGTGGCGTGAAGCAAGAGAAAAATGCTGTCAATGCATTGTTCACTGACTTTCGATGTGATTGCTAGGCAATAATATAAGTTACTTTGTCAGAAATGGTCCTCTTGCAAAAATTTGCCCGAGAACGCTTTTGTAGGTTATATCGGCGCGCCTTCGCCACGCTAGCACACTCAACACACGAAGCTCGGCACCAAGACGCCAAATTCTTTTAAATTTGCTACTGCTACTGATCTTGCGCTTGTTGTCGTAGTTCTGTTTCGGACTACAACAGTAACGTCCGACTGCCACTGCTGATGATCGCAGCCTTAGTGGCGACTGTCCGTTCTGATTTTTTTGCTGCCTATACTTGCTGCTGTTACTGCTACAACTGTTACTGCTTAAATGCCTATCGAAAACACATAGAACACAAGTTGCACTAACCCCACTAAATCTAAGAAACGAACAATATTTGCCTCGCTGCTCAGTTTTTACGCATGTTGGAATAATTGCAGCAGTTTATATTTACACACTCACGCACCTTCACAGAATACAGATATATCATTTATTTCACGTATATTACGGGATTTGGAAGTTCTAGGACGCGCGCCTCCTGGTGGACTAGCCTTCTACGCGTTATTCTCTCGTTCTTTCCCTCGCAGCACAGTTGCTTGCATTGCGCGCGCTAATACTTGCTCTGTATACTCTCTCTACTTCTGGGCTCAACAATACGTCTGTATGTGAGAGCACACACACACTTATCAGCATGAATGTGAAGTGTGAACATTGAGCAGTGAACGTTTGATACCGAGCTGAGCGCTACTATAGCATCCACTCATACATCCACATTTACTAAGCGTAGCGCAGTCACGACTCTCACCAGTCGCACCGTCTATTTGATTGAGTGAATTATGTGTATTTTTATGTGTACGTACATGTACAATCGCATCCGTTTAGTTTCGTATTACGCATGTGTGTGTGTGCGTGTGTGTATGTGTGTGTGTATGTGTGATATTGTTTTAACTTTTACATCTACATCGACACTTAGAGCTGGTTGTTTCCGTCTCTTTTGCTCTTATACATTCAAATGCGAATGGACTCCCCCTCCATACGGCCGTTATCTCCCGTCACACACACACACACACACACACACACACACACACACAGACACACCCCTTCCAACTTCTTGCTATGCTAATTCCTTCACAGATTCTTCTGCTGCTTCACAATTTTGCTAGGTTGGTAACATACATTTCTCCAATTTTATCACAAAAGGACTTTTTTAAGAACTGAAGTTTCAGTGCGCTTGAATTTTCATATGTAGGTATATTATCAATGTTAACGGAAGTAAAAAAAAATGCTACATGATCCATAAAAAATAGTCTTTTATAACAGTTGTACATTTTTATTATACGGTTAGATTCAACAAGTCTTTTGCTACACAATTTAGTTAAAGATAAAAAACGTGGTTTTTAAAGCTGATGACTTAAATATTCTCGGATAATTTTTGAGCCAACGCAACGAAATTTACTACCTTACATCTAAGTATGTATGATATATAAAGCGCACGCGCCGCGACCTCAAACTTTTTTTAATAACCTCACACTTTTTGTTGTACATTTGTTCTTAATTCTTAAAATGACCCTTATAAAAATTTCCAATAGGATCCCGCGAAATTCCTATTGGAATCCTATAGGACTCCTGTAGGAATTTCGCGAGATCCTATAGGAAATTTTTATAAGGGGAGTATCAAATTAAATATTATAATTTTGTTATTGAATGTAACATTTAAATTTTTTCGGAAACTCGTCGACTGTCACTCATTTTATCAAAGTTCATGAATAAATAAAAATGATAAATTGCTAATGCATCAATTGATTATTTTTATTAGGGTTATAAAGCGCATTTCATCTTTTCAGTATCAAAGTATACTTTGCAGTATATAGTCCGGGCGCCAGCTATGGGTCGAGTATACATTTTCAGGTCCATAAGGTAACCAAAGCTTTTTATAGGTTTTTTGGTGTGCTGAATCGATTTAGCTTGGTTACCAAGCGTTAAAATTGGTATTTTAAAAGTTATTAACAAATTTATTGTTTATAACTAAAAAAATTTGTTTAAAAAAATCTGAAAAAATTCACACGTATTCTTTGACTAATTCTAAGACTATTTTGTTCTTTGCATTTTTTCGTTTTAGACGTTCCTTAACAAGTTAGAAAATCGCAAAGATTGAAAATATGAATGGTTTCTGAACAAATTCGTGCGTAAAAAAATAACTTTGCGATTTTCTAGCTCGGTAAGGAACGCCTAAAACGAAAAAATGCAAAGAACAAAATAGTCTTAGAATTAGTCAAAGAATACGTGTGAATTTTTTCAGATTTTTTTAAACAAATTTTTTTAGTTATAAACAATAAATTTGTTAATAACTTTTAAAATACCAATTTTAACGCTTGGTAACCAAGCTAAATCGATTCAGCACACCAAAAAACCTATAAAAAGCTTTGGTTACCTTAAGGACCTGAAAATGCATACTCGACCCATAGCTGGCGCCCGGACTAATAACAAAAACTTTTAGCTTTCTCCATAAACTTTAAAAATCGTGTTATTATCTCATAGTTATACGAGAAAGGTGTAATAAAAACTTTTCTCCATATAAAAATTGTTCTAGTAACATTGAAATTAAATTGAAATACCGATGAAAACTTTCAGGTCTTCCCTTGAAAAAATTTCCTATAGGATCCCGCGAAATTTCTAAGCGAATCCTGTACGACTCGTGTAGGAATTTCAAGGATTTTTGTAATTTCAAAATGAATTTTAATAATTTTAAAATTTGGAATAATGTTGAATCATTTGCTTTTGAATTAGCTTGGGAGTCTGATGATAAATTCACATTACTTAGAGTTCGAAACTCAATTCTTTGCTCCATTTTTTGCAATCGAATACGAAGGAGACCCAGTTGAAAAAAATTGCGTGGATTTCTACGTGGATTATCCACGCAGATTCCACATGGAATAAATGCACTTTCCTTGTAGACTCCACGTACTTTCCACGCGGAATCTGCGTGGATAGTCCACGTAGAAATCGACGCAATTTTTTTCAACTGGGGATTCAAAAAAAGTAACGGTGTTGATCATACGGATAAAACATACAATGGATTAACTGACCTGATAAAAATCCACCTATAACCAACACTTAGATTACGGAACGTTATATTTTCGAGAAGTGTGTGCAAAAAGAAAGTGAAAACGTTAAAGTATTTTATGCTTAATTAAAAAACTTGGCAACACACTGCAATTTGGAACATAATTAACGAATTATCCAAAATTAGGGAAGACTGGGGTGTGTTGGCGCTACTATTAAAAAACTGTCATTTTTTAATGGAAATTAAAATTTTATAAATGAATATTTTTCACAATTCAATAGTAACTGACAAACAGACTTCATTGTTAAGCATGATGAGTCAAGAATTATCGGATCGGGCATTGATACCACGTGGATCAGACATGGATACCACGTGGGTCAAATAAATTATGTACGTAGGTAAGCCACGTGGATTGACAAAATCCCTGCGTAGATTAAACCACGAGGATTTTTGATAGAATCCTCGTGGATATAGAAATATTCACGATCAAGATTTCTCGAAAAATAATCGTGGATTAATCAATTACACAGACACACAAAATAAAAAAAAATGCTCAGTTCCACAGACCGGACCCAGTAGACTTTATGTTTTTGGGGTCGCTGAATCCGAATCCGTCGTCGGTTTTTCGCCATCAGATCGATTTAAGGTCATTTGAAGGTAATTTAAAGGTCATTTAAAGGTCAAATCATGAAAAATAGGTTTAAAAACTCGAACTATCCCTATATAGGTTTTTGAGGATGCTTAACTCAAATCTGAAGTCAGATGACCTCTACGACCTTACCTCCAAGGTCATTTGAAGGTTAAACTTAGAAAATTAGATATAAAAATCCGAAAAATATATTTTTTATGTTTTGAGGGTCGCTGAATTCAAATTCAAGGTCATTTTGACTAAATTTAGACATCTACAGGTCATTTAAAGGTCATTACGATCTTACCTTCAAGGTCATTTCAAGGTTAAGTTAATGAAAAAAGGGCAAAACTTGATGAAATATTGTTAATTTCGTATGCCTTTTTACTTTTTCTTTTGTAACGCTCCTTGTTTTCTTCAAACGATCGGCATAAAGGTTGCCGTCTGCGTTTAGTTCCTCTATGTTCACTCTCCCTCTTCAACATACAGCAGTAATCAGCCATCATTGCAGCATCCCGTCTACCTTGATATCACTGCTATATATGTTTATAATGTCTTGACGGAATCGTTCTCCTTACTCGTCACTAAAATCACCACAGTTTTTCGGGAACTTATCTGAATGGTTATGCAAGAGATGCAGTTTGTAAGACATATTACATTCCATTTCACCGAAATTGTTTATCATTGTTGATATTAAAATTTTGTAGTCATCGCTTCTGCGATTACCTAGAAAATTTTTCATAACATTTTTGAAGCTAACCCATGCAGCTTTCTGAATCTCAGTCATCTTAGTTGGAAAATTGTCATCTTTCAGCAATTTTCTTATTTCCGGTCCATCGAATATTCCTTCTTTTAATTTGGCATCAGATTTTTATAGGAAAATTTAGATTCTAAATATTTGTAGCATTTATAGTTCTCACTCAAAGCGTTTACAAACTGTTTCATAATGCCTAAATTTGATATGTAAAGGAGGTAGTAAAACTTTTTTAGGGTCTACTAACGGACTGTTAATAACATTATGATAACTAGATTCTAGAGAATTTCTCTCAGACCAATTGTAGTCAGTATAATGTTCTTTACGGTCTCTGCTGTCCCATTAGCACTTGAAACATGGGTACTTTGTAAATCCAGATTGCTGTCCTGCTGACGGGAGGGGGGCCAACGTAGAGGAAATAAACGCAAACGGCCACCTTTACGCCGATCGTTTGAAGAATAAAAGGTGCGTTACAAAAGAAAAAGGTAAAAAAGCATGCAAAATTAACAATATTTCATCATGTTTTGCCCTCTGTTCATTAACTTAAACTTGAAATGACCTTGATCTTGACTTTTTACAGGTTACTCAATCAGAAAGCTGAATTACTCAGCTCCGAAAACCTATACACAATCTTTTTTCGATACTTTACCGTTTTCACTAGATTTTATCTTAAAATAAGCTAAAAATAACTCAGTATAGTGAAAATGAACTTTGTTTCAAATTGAGCTACCCTCAAAACATTAATGTAATATTTTTTGCATTCTTATATTGAATTATCTAAGTTTGACCTTCAAATGACCTTGAAGGTAAGATTGTAAAGGTCATCTGACTTTAGATTTGAATTCATTCAGCATCCTCGAAATCCCATATAGAAACTTTTTTCCAATTTTTTAACCTATTTTTAATGATTTGACCTTCAAATGACCTTTAAATGTAGATGTTTAAATTTAGTCAAAATGACCTTGAATTCGAATTCAGCGACCCTCAAAACGTATAAGATATATTTTTCAGATTTTTATATCGAATTTTTCTAAGTTTGACCTTCAAATGATCGTGAAGGTAAGGTCGTAGAGGTCATCTGACTTCAGATTTGAATTCAGCATCCTCAAAAACCTATACAGGGATAGTTTCGAGTTTTCAAACCTATTTTTCATGATTTGACCTTTAAATGACCTTCAATCTGATGGCGAAAAATTAACGACGGATTCTGATTCAGCGACCCGAAAAACATAAAGTCTACTGGGTCCGGTCTCTAAAACTGAGCATTTTTTTTATTTTGTGTGCCTTTGTTATCAACGTGGAGAAGTTAAAATCAACGACGATT